CAGGAAGAGCACACCTCAGAGAGTAGCATGCCTGATGAACCAATGTGGGATGAGCTCAGTGAGATGTCTGAAGAGAGCACCACTGAGGAAGCGCTCAAGACCATACCACTGAGACGGAGCACCAGGCAGAAATAGTCTGCCCCACATTGCCATTTATGTGATCTCGCGATCAGGGAGGAGTGTAATGAGCATGTGCAGAAGCATCTTCGAACAGTGTGTGTGTATTGTCGCCGGGCACACCTTGGAGTACCATAATGGACTTGACAGAAAACTAGAAGAAGAAGACGCGCAAGTCGTTTGGTGTCTTTTTTTGGGCAACAAAAGCTGTTGCGGTCGGTCGTCCATCGTCAGCAGTCTTGGGTGCTGTTTGCTGTTGTAAAGTGTTTGTTTCAGGTTCGCAAGAAGGCGTTTGTTTCAAGTTCACAAGAAGGAGTTTTTTTTTCCTGTTTTTTCACACATTATATTTAGCAAATTTTAAAGAATTTAGTTATGTGGCCTTCAATGTCCAATGCAATGTAATTACCAAAATAACATTTAGTGGATTGATATACACCTAATGAAGGCTGCAGGGCACAACAGCCAAGATGTTGTAATAACAACAACAATGTAATTATCTTTATAATTAAATATTTGATGGCTATGTTTGCTTATTAAGAGATTTCACAGAAGAATTTATAGACAAACTATATGTGTATAATAGATTGATGGGTAAGTAATATTGTATTTTCAAAGAGAGGATGAAAATGTAATGAATCTTATCAATTAATGGCACAATCCCTTTTATTGGCAGTTATATTCACCAATGTAAAGGCAATTATCCTATTCTTGGCTGATAGAATTGTAGGATTAGTGATGAAAATAAAGCCGAGAGTTTTGAATTGACATCTTCCTTATTTCTGAATCTCTTTTCTTTAAAAATTCTTCTCGTCATTGAAACAAATGATAATCCAAAGATGCTAATTCTGGTAAGTATGGAGGATAAAAGAAAAAATAAAAGAATACACTTTCTAGCATGATTTTATTTTCTCCTGAGTTTCTTTTGCCATGTCATTATGAATGTTCCACTTTTTATTCCTCAAAGTTTGGAATTTCTGGTATAAGACACCATGATGTGTTTGACTTGTTAACAATAAAGCTTTGAGATCATAGTTTCTCCAAGATGTAAATATTCATGACAATACTCATCTTGTTCTACTAGATGCACAGTCAAATATTCTATGGAAGAAATTCTGGTTTCATTGTTGTGATCAATTTGACAGAGTGATAACCACTCATTTTTCTTTTGTGTTTGTTGCTAACATATAGTGCCTATTTCTTTTCTCTTATAACCAAGAGTTTCATTCTTGGTTAGCAAACTGTTGCAAATGGTTAAATGTTGTGCTCAATTTTCTGGTAAGAATACATGGAGAATCCAAATTTTTTCACAATTTGTTTCCAATGATGCTGTATAGTTGAACATAATACTTATAACTTTTCCCTAAATTTCTGGTGTTTTGAAAAAGATTAGATTCAATAGATATATACAGAAGACAATTATTATGTTTTTAAGATTAATAAAAAATGTTCAGTCATTGCTTTATTTTGAACTTGCTGAAACACTGATGTGTTGGTTGTGTAATGATTATCAATACAGAGAGTAGAATTGGCAAGCTGAGTTCAAGCTCTATACTAGTTTGTTGCCTCTACTTTTATAGATAGGAAAGGCATGACTATCTCTTCTGTGGGTTAAATAGCAGGGTAGACTAGGCTCTCTAGCTTTGAGTGGCAGCCAATCTAGGAGAAAGATTATTTTGAATTCAAAACTGAAGAAAGCAACAGGAAACAACTCCACCCCTTCTCAAGAAGTCATGGCAATTCACAGATAATAAAAGGAATCTGTAGAGAGCCATAATTATCTACATCTTGAAGTGACATAGCATTTACGAAAAAGAAAAAACTTTGGTATCATTTATGTACAGTCATTGTTGTTGGGTACACTGCACTGATATTCCTTGTGAATTATTAATGCCATTATGAAGTTTATACAATATGCAATAGGGATCATGAAAATCAATAAAATCTTTTTTGCCCCTTCTGCTTAACAAAAATAGCTCATTGTTTACATTGAACTTGGATTTAAATGTTGATTCCCAATATGCATATTTTGCATTTGATATTACATCCCTAACAACCTAACACACACACTGAAAGCTCTTTATTTCTCAGATATTTGTACACAAGTGAAGAATAAGACAGGAATAGTTACAAGTATTTATAAATAGAAAGAGTCAGGGTTGAAATCAAGGCAGGAATAATCATACAAGTTGAAGATCCAGCCTAAAGTAATATATTCTCCTTACTGAGCGTGAATGGCATTCTTACCATTTAGGCAGATCTCACTTATTGTTACTTGTTGTAAATCTCAAAGAACTTTCAGAGAAATACGTGGGTATTCATGCATAGATTTGGTGTAGCTGTACATTTTTGCTTTTGAACTTTTTAACATAGAACTTTTCATTTTCTGCTACCTTCAGTCATCTTTTTGTATTTAATACTTTTTTTTATTTTATTTTATTGAGCATTCTCTTGTCTTTCCCTATTAGGAATTTGTTCAGTTGATAAATCTATATACCTCTGCTGTGGTTGCCTATACAACAAAAGCTTTTCTAGAAAATCCTTGAAACTCTGTATGAGTTCTAGGTGATGAGTGTGAATAAACAGCTGGTAATATATATATATATATATATATATACACACACACTCAAAATGCATGTACACAGATGTATATAAACAAAACACATGTGGGCACCTACTGTAACATGATGGGTGACAAATTTGTCTTACAGACCAAAACAGTAGTATTGTGAGTTTGCCAGTTTGTATATAACATTTATTTTAGTTCAATGGATACCAAGTGTGTTTCTCAGATCATTGGTGTAATGAGTTTGATTTTTTTTTTTGACAGCAGAAGTTATTCTAGGAATATGAGAAGCACTTGTAATCAAAATTTAGTACAAATTTTTCCTGCCTCTTTGAGAAAAAACATAATACATATTTTCTTTTTTCTTTGAAGGAGATGATGTAAAATAAAATACTTACCATGATATTATGGTAAGTAATTTTTTTTTTTTTTGCTATAGTTAAAGTTGATAGTTTCATATTTCTCTCTAGCACCAATGGTTAGTGGTTGAGTCTAGGCAAAAAGTAAGATTTCAGATACTAATTTTCAGAGCCAACTTAGAAGATTGTACACATCACAATCTTCCTACTATTTATTTGATCTTGTATAGGACAAAATATATAGAAGAAAATAATTAAAAAGTATTACTTACTTTTAAAAAATACTATGATCAGCTGATAAAGTGTAAAAATGTGTGTGTGTGTGTGTGTGTGTGTGTGTGTGTGTGTGTGTGTGTAAAGAAAAAAAGTTAAATTTTATCCAAAAATAACACTCAAAATACTTTGAGTACACCAGTAAAATATTTATAAAAAGAATACCCTAATTCCACAATTCATATTTGTTGTGGCTTGATTTTGTCTGGAAAAGATTCTCAATATTGTACTTCATTGTTTCATATGTATTTTGTGGCTGTAGGCTTTTTTAAAAAAAAAAAAAATTTCTGCTGTCAGTATTGAATTTAAATGTTTTTTTTTATAGTCCAATCATAGCAAAATAAAAATCTAATCTTTTTTAAGCAGATCAGTGTCAAACTAATGCAAAGATTACACAGTTATATGAGATGCCAATATTTTTAATGCTTCTAAATTATTATAAAGGAAATATACATAAAATACAAAAAAAAATCTTATATTATATATATATATATATATATATATATTAATATTGTAATTAATGGCTATTAAGAAGAACTGTTCTGATTTTAATATAATAAATGAAAAGTGAAATGACTTCAGTCAAAATGGGATCAAATGAAACAATAAAAGACAAATGGTCATCAGAGTAGAAGAGATTTTTGGTATTGTTTACATCTGTAGGAATGATGTGAATTCAAGTATATATCTACTTCAATGAATTCTTTTGTTTATAAATATAGCTAAAAATCATTCATTATCCAACTCAATGTATTTTTATTCTTATAAATATTTTAAGAGTCACAAACTTTAAAGTTTGGGTATAAAAAAAAAAGAAGAAAAATAATCTTGCTGACATATATGTAAAATCTATTGAAAATTAGACTAAAAAAGTTTAATTGAAAGACAGCATCACTAAATCCAACAAAAATGTAAAAGTATGAAAAAATTAGATGAATAATTATTAAGTTTGAAATTTATCATCATTAGCATTTTGGGAAAGTAAAGTTGTACTAATGCTTATCAATGAAGAAAATGGAATCACCAAGCTATCCAAGTTGCTGATGAAGCAACTTATGTTCATTTTACACTAATGTTGTTAATCTTTTCTCCCTTCAGCTATGTGTCAAATAGCAGGATAGACTAGACTTTTTAGTCTAGAAGGATAATTCTGAATTTATAACCATAGAGAAGGCAACAAGAAACAAGTATCTTTTCTAAGAACATTCATGGCAATGCACAGTTTAGATATTAAAATAAGGGAAACTATGGCAGGCCATGATCATTTACAACCTGAAGGAACATAGCATTTGAAAAAAAAAAAAAAAAAAGTCATCATTTTAAGAGTTTATCTTTGTTGAATAACTAAGACAATAGTATTTATCAAATTTCTTTTATTCATAACAAAAAAAGAAAACAATTGTCTAATCTCAGAAAGATTTGTAGTAAAGAAAATAATAACAAAAGAAATAAAATAAAAACAATTTTCCCCCAATATATAGTCATGTCATACTAAATGTGTATGAAGAAAAATAAATTAGAGAATTAAATTTTTAATTATCAGTGTTTTGTGTATATGTTTTGTTTTAATTTCTTTTTTCTATATAAATTAATGAATTTATATAAAATCATCCTGGTGTTTTTCATATGATGTAAATGAAAGGATAACAAATTCAGTTTAATTAACAGAAGTCACAAAAGAACTGAACCTTCTTGGGTGTGGGCTGAAGTAATCCGACAAGATGGAACCTCTCTTGTTGAGTGTCGGTCGCAAGACATTCGGGAGTGCCTGTGGTGGGAATGTTTCTGGCGCCACCTGCAATATGAAAGGCAAAAAAAAAAAAAAAAAAAAAGATAATACAAGAGATATACTAAATAAATTTCACAGAGACATAGTTCATCTTATTGTCATTGCTTAAAAGAAAATTTGATGAGAAAACCATGTGACTAGTGTGAACTGTTTTCATTGGATTTGTTTTAAAATAAATTTTTTCATATCAAGAAGATAGAAATATTCTGTGGTTTCATATAATGTAACCAAATTTTATGATATACTCATATTACAAATCTATTTTATTTCAATTTTTTTACATTAGTAAAATGACAGTTTTAAGTAAGAGTCATATTGTGTATTAATTCATGCTGGCATGAAGAACTTGTCCTCAGCAGGAGATAAAGCATTGTGTCATGCTACATCTCATAGAGTTAGTATATGAATACTCATTAAGTGATCTTATGTAAAATCTTTCATGATATGGGGATAGAAATAACTTAATTTCTCATGGCATTGACATTTTTTAGAAAGGAAAAACAAAATTACTGTTTTAATATATTTAAATTTTTGTATCAATAAATTTAGAACACACTTTAAGTAACAATAAGAATGAACACTATGAATTGGTTCAATAAAAGAGAAATACATACAAAGAAAGAAGAAATAAGATTGCACAACAAATTATGAAGATGTTAAATATAATATTACAATAGGAACAGACTGAATAGAAAATGAGAGAAATTCTAAATAAAATAGTGATGTACTAAAAAGGTTAATTTGTATATAAATCAAAATAAAATTGAACAAGAAAATACTTGTAAAATTTATTATTTTTCAACTTTGATAATTACATAAGAGTAATATAAACATTCTACAGCTGATCCCAAAGGGAAATAAATGTTAATCTGTCTTTATGCACTAATCTTGAATGTCATTAAAAAAAAAAAAAAAAAAAAGTAATTTCTTTATTCATAAAATGTATTTACATTTTAACCACTATTTGCATGTTGGTAACTTATTGAAAATTTTAACTGGTGCACTTTACATTATTAGTGTTGCCTTGCACCTAGAAGTTTTTAAAGTCTGTGAAGAGTACATTAGTATAAATCTAGTGATGAAAATATCAGTCATAATTACACCTCATCACATGATTAGAAGCTTATGTTCTTTATTCTGCATTCTTATGGCAGTTTTTATTTGTTACACTATCCTAGAAAATAAAAATTGAATTTGCAACAATATGATTTTATTGCATATGCATGCATTATGTAGCATCACGTTTGTTTTCATTACATTAGTAAATTTCTTTGGTTGCTCTTTGTAATGTTGCAGGTAAATAGTTTATAGTCACATGAATTCAGTGAAAATGAAGTGATGGTTAAAACAAAACCTGATTGTTCTTTTGATGATAAAATCTATAAATCCCAAAGTGTGAAATGCAGAAAACAAACAACTGGCCATATACAATTGTATGAGTACCAGTTGTAAAAGAATTGAGGAAGTAAGTAAAGTAAAGATTCCTTCAGGAAATTAATGGAATCAAGGTGGAAATTATGTGCAAAATAGAAAAAATTGGTAAGAAAAATATGGGAAATATAACTCAATTCATTTCAAATATTTTTTTTAAAAGAAATTTGAATATTCTGTGTATATTTAGAAAATTAAACATAATAATAATAACGGAAAAGTAGCTTGTTTTTCATGTAATTGGCAACTTTAGTTCTCGTCACAAAAACTTGTATATGAAGTCTTTCATTAATTTTGATGAACCCCTTAATACTCGCTTTAAAATTAATTATAGGGTTCTATCTATAACCCATTAATAAGTTATAAGTTTCTAACTATAAATCATTAATGCCCACCATTCCTAAAATGAGACAGTGGACATTAATGGGTCAATAACTGATCAAGTATACTTTATTATAAGAATGTTTACTAAAAGAAATTTAAAAAAATGAATTAAGTTATGATACAATTAGACTGTATATCTGGTACTAACCTAGGTACCAATAAAAGTTTGCTAGTCTTTATTCATCTGTTTAATTATAAACTCTTGTAATACATGCAGGCCTATTAATAATGCTGATCCATTTTAATTCCATTTTTAATGAAGAATTCTGAAGCCAATCAGAGATTCTGTTGTTTTATATTAAATTTTATTAAGAAAATATTATTGTTAACTAAAAACCATGGAACAATACCAAATTGGTATGTCTTTAAAACAATTTCAAATATAAAGAATTCATTTCATTACTTTCTAGGTGCCTTATATTTTAATTGGTTACATTTTCTAATAAGATTTATTTCAATTATGCAAATGATATCTGCATTTTAAGGAAAGTAACTCATTTAAGTGAAAGAAATTAGCTTCAGAACTAGTAGGTCTGGTTCATAACGGTAAATGTCATTTGTCTGAAAACTTAAGCATTAAATCAAATCTTCACTTTGTCCGTGGTCATTTCACCAAAATATCAAAGGGTAGAAAATTAAAGGGACATAATTTAATATCTGAATGCTAGTTTTAAAAATGACATTCATTGATTTAATTGTTGCTTATTTATGATAATGAATGATTGACAAGTCAGTTTATTTAAGAGTATTATTTAATGTTGAAATCATAAAAACAGGAACTTGAATTTTTTGTCAAGTAATGAAAAAAAATATAAATAAAAGGTGATTAAAATACAAATATTAAAATAAATAGAAAAATTAATATGGATTAATACAGAAGACATTTTAAAATATTTAATTTATTTATGCATGTATTTTGGATGGGACAAATGGTTTTTTTCTCTTTCATAACTTTTTACTCATTTTTAAATATTCCAAGAATAAAAGCAAACTATTAAGCCGCATTATTATGTGAATGAAGATTTTAGTGACAACTTTATAGAGAAAAAGTGATTCATTATCATAAATAAACAACAATGAAATTAATGGGTGTAATTTTTAAACGATACATAATTTCCCTGGTGCCCTGACTACATGAATTTAAGCATGCTACTTGACTGGCATTTAGGTTCTACCCTCTTACTATTGAAATGTAACTGCCACTTCTACTCCAACTGTTTCTTTTCTTGCACTTCCTGACTGTAGAAGTCTCTACTGTTAACTTGTTTCCCTGATAACTACAATCTTCAAAAATTTAAATGCAATGTTAATCACCATCCTCTATCTTCTTGAATCCTGTTCATCTTTTATTCTTTCCTCAATCCCCACTATACCCAGTCTTTTCTCTCACTTTCATCCACTCTAACCTCCTTGCATACTAGTGGCATTCTTGCCTTGCTTGGGGTGAAATGATTAAAAAAAGATTTTTAAAAAGCACCATTCAAATATATAAGTTATCTCCCTTTAATTTTCTAACTTTTGATTTTTCATTGAAGTGACCCATTCAACAAAGTGAAAATTTGATTTATTGCTTTCTGTTATGATTACCTCCCAGTATATTCAGTTAACTTGAATCAATATCCCCTTCATTAATGGTTTTTTAAAAATATAAAGACAGGCATTCTAAAAGCAATCATTTTCTTTTATTCTGGTCTATGCATAATCTCTTTTGTCAGTCTAAAATTCATATATTTCAGAGCAAAAATAATAAAAAAACAAGATAATATCACTTAGTGTTAACATTTCACATATTTTATTTTAAGCTAAACTTAACACTTTCATATTTAACTGCTTGAATACATATCAAGGAATTAGAATAGTAAAATAACTAAATATTTAATCAAGAATGTAGTTTCTACCTTTTGTTCAACTAGGCTTGTCTGAAGCTATCAAAAGTTCTGAATTTTCTATTTCAGAGAAATAGTCTTTGAAGACATGTAGAATTTCTACATGAAATGAGAAGCTTTAATAGATTAAAAAATGCCAAAGAACCAAAACTAAAGATTAAATATTGAGGAATAAAGATTTATGAAAATTAAGTGATTAAAAATACACATGCAAATCAAAGTATCTTACATAATATCTCTTCCATTCATGGTGCTGTCCACATAAATAAAACAACAATAATAAAAAAAAATCATTATCAGAACACAATGCTGAAATATTTTAAAAAATTACTTTCAGTATAAAAAAATTGACACACTATTTTCCTTATTAAAATGTCTAACACAAATAGGTAAGAATTAAAACTAAAAAAAAATGTAATTTTTTTTTATTACCATGTATGCAAATAAATGATAATTGTAGCATGAAAGAATTTTAATATTTTGTAAGTTTGTACACTCATTCTTTAAAAATCCAATGTCTTAAATGACATCTCATTCATACATGTATCTGAAAAATAATTCATGTTATAAACATTTTAAGATGACCTAGAATCAGTCAATCATATGAAAACTAAATGTAAAGATAAAGCACAGAAAGTTTTTTTTTTTCTAAACAAACTTAGAATATACTGTTTGAAAAAAACTACTTATAATCACAAAGAAAATAAAACTAATTTAAAATAATATTAGCAATATTATTAACAAACCTCAGTATAAAAGCTGGCATAATTAAATTATTAATAGCATTTGAATTTCAAATTAATTTTTTCATACAATACAGAAAAGTGAATACAAAGTAAATTTTTTGGTGTACTTTCTTTATATATTGTAAAGAAAAAAAAATTTAAAACTGAAAGTTGCCATTCAATAGAAAAAAAAAAAAAAAATTACTTCAATAGGTTGTTTGAATTATGCCAACTATTTATTAACTATTTTTATTATCCATATATCAATAAGTATACAACAACATAATAAAACATAAGCATTTGTTTTACAATATAATCTCCTTTGTTAATGAACTTAATTCAGTGGTGAATATTAATAGACATTATACAGTGAAAATTTCAGATCAAAATTTAGCTCATCACATCATCTCAAGTTAGATTTACTGGGCCACTCTCATACATTGAATATATAATTTTTTATAAGTACTCTACTTAAAATATCAGTAGAAAAATACATATGTTAAAAAGATGATATTAAAATAAGAAATTAACAAAAATGTAATCTTTTTCCAAGATCATTGTTTTCTTTATGAAGAAATAC